AAAACATTATCCTAAGAAGGGGCCCACAGACCTCAATAGGCTGCCAAAAGGGACCAACAAAAAAGGTTAAGGACCCTTAGATGAAATGGCCACTAAAATTTTTTCTAACATTCTAGGATTCATTGTTTTAGGTGCTCTCTGCCCGTGCAATTAATTGGGCAGCTAGGTGGCACAATGGATAGAGAGCTGAGAGTCACAAAGCCCCATCTTCCCGAGTTCAAATCTGACCTCAGACACTTAGGGGACCCTGGGCAAGTCACTTAACACTGTTTGTCTCAGTTTCCTCATCTGTAAAATGATCTGGAGGAGGAAATGGCAAACCACTCTATCATCTCTGCCAAAAAAATCCAAATGGGATCACAAGGAGTCAGGAATAATTGAATAAGTCCGTGCAATTATTACTCTTCTTTGTATTCCCCATGTTTAACATAGTGCCTGGAATGTAGTGCACCCTTTGTAAATACTCCAATAGACTGACTGAAATAAGTCAATCAAAGATAAGTCTAACCAGAGACCAGGAGATTGGGTCTGGGCCTGTGCTTCTATGGGTATAGAGAACTCCCAAGGGAAGCCCCTCTACCAATATGGATCAGTACTTTCCTCTGTAAGTTATAGTCAGAACGCAGCCAAGTGAAGTAGTGGGTAGAAGAGAGGTGGACCTAGAGTCAGGAAGATGAATTCAAATCTGGCCTCAGATGTTTACTAGCTATGTGACCCTGGGCAGGTCACTTAACATAAGTCACTGTTGCCTTAATCCACCAAAGAAGAAAACGGCAAACCACTTTTTGGGATGTATGGCAGTCTTCGGAGAGGACTAGCACCTCTGGTGTGAGGCTTGCCAAGCCCTTTTCAGGGCTGCTCATCCATCTTTGGTGTCCACCTTCAACTCTGAACTGTGGTTCCAAGAAGCTGTAGCATGTACAGCAGCCACAGCCTGGCAAAACCACCTTGGCTGATGGGATAAAGCAGGCTGAGGGTAACTGACAGGCCTGAAACCTGTTGGTGAGTTAGAGGGATGTCTACCCCAAGTGTCTGGAGCATTTCCCTAGCAGAATGGACACATTAGAACTTGTTCCAATGGCCATGAAAGACACTGAAGCAGGTACTGTGGAGTGCTTAGAGCTCGGTCAGGCATAGAAGACATCATGGTCATCCACTGAATCCTGGGCCATCACTAGTTGTCTTGACTTTTGTTCTGCCACTGGATTTCAATGACTCTGAAGGAGAGAGTGAGGTTGACCATTTTGTGCAGCTTTGCTTCACTTAAATCCAATTAATGCACAAGTAGAGATCACTCCACGATGTTATTGGTTGCTCCCCTTAGAAAAGGAAGGATGAACAACAACAGTCATAGAGTTGTCTACAGAGTACCAGGAAGGCTATATAATTTATCTGGGGTCTAACAATCACCATGGATCAGAGCCAGAACTCCAAACTGACTCTGTGGTCAGTTCTCTATACCACTATGCCATGTTACCTTAAACAGCTTAATCTTTTCCAAAAATAACAACAAAACCACTTGTTTACAAGAAACCCCTTTTTGTCTGGATAGGTCACTTGAGTTGCATATCCATTACTTTATTTGTTATTAAAAGGACATATTGCCTAAATAAACTTTTTAAAAATTGTAACATCCATTTGTATCTGTAAATTATTGTTTTGAAAAAAGGTCTTTTTTTCATTAAAGCTTGTACTTTTGAAGTTCAGTTTCTGTTAATTTGTAACTGAAAATTATTCCACCAGTTAGAGAGGTGACAACAACTATTTTGACTATTATTATTTTCAAGCTCATCATCAGAGTTCTGAGGAACTTTTTGACAAAAGGAACAGCATTGTCTAGCAACAGAGTAGATGCCTTACAGAACATAGAGGATGTTGGACAGGGTTAGTGGGATGTTCCCTCAAACAGGTCACCACAGCCCTTGATAAGGGGAACTTTTTCTATCCTTCCTCCTTCCTCTTGCTCAAAATCCACCGTTTTTCCATTGTACCTGATGCTGCACACCTAGTTCAACACCCACGTTTTACAAGAGGACACAGAGGCACAGGAATTTGTCAGTTTGACTACGGTCTCACAGAGTTAGGGGGGACAATAGATTTTTCTGACTTTCAGTGACAATTTTTTTTTCCATCCAAACTGGTGTGATGAGATTTTACTATACGACACTATTTTCCTTCGCATGTTACCATGTTACCTTTCCAACATTTCCCCATCAAGGACAGCCTCTTCTAGCTTCAGCGCTTTCAAATAGTAGGTCTGTAAAGAAACAGATACTGACCTGTATTTTGGTTTTCATAAAACAATGGTTCTCAAAATGTGGTGGATGCTTTCAGGGCATCCTCAAAGTCAAAACCATTTTCATAATAAACACTAGAATGTTTTCATTTCTAATACATTAAATATTGATAGGTATAGCCCACTTTAACAACAAGGTTCTTAGAGGAGGGTCCTGAAAACAAAGTTTGACAATTGCTGCTGCTGCTGTAGAGGAGTGGAAAAACTAGCCCTCATACACTGATATTCAACCAAAGACTAAACAAGGCAGAGAATTGAGGAGTACCAATTTTTTAACATTTTTATTACACAGTAAAGAATACAACAATACCTGAATCATACTTTAAAGATTCACAGGTTGACAGACCATACATTACAGTCCAACTAAGGAAAAAAGGATAAACAAGAAACCACAGTTCAGACATAGTAGACTTAAAAAGCTCAAAGAGTATGCTGACAAAAGCATGATGCCCAGGCCCTGCCCCCCCAGTGTTAGTCTACCATTAACTTGTGGTACATGTCTGAATTAAGTATTGCACAACAACTTTTTTTCTCACAATAATGTTGCAGAACCCAAAATAATAATAATAATAAAAAATTACTTCAAATCTGCATTTCAACAGTCTCCAATTTTTTTTTTCTGTCCCTTGAGGAATTCGGACAACATGGAGTCACTTTCTTTCCCTAAGTATTTCCAGACGTAGGCATGCTTTGCATAAGTAAACCAGCCTTGTAATTTTTAAATCCCCAAGACATGCACCTACACAAAATTTTTTTTTAAAAAATTAAAAAAAGACAGGTGGCCCTGTCACACACAGTCTCATGACAGAGAAAGAGAAAGAGAGAAGAGTAAGAGACAGAGGACGCCCTATTCCTATCAGCGACCACCATTCAGTTATATCCAATGAAGTTAACTTTTTTTTAAAATGTGTTATACCTACAAATTATACTCTCACAAAGCCTGTATATAAGTGACAAGCAAAAAAAGGAAAGTAACAAAAGTTTTTTTTTTCTTCTTTCTCTTCTTTAGGTTTATGAGGTCTGCATTGTTACCAAGAAGTGATATGGTTTGCAGCTGTATGAGCTTTACTTTTGGTATCCTGGTTCTTTTGTGCCCATTTGGTTTGACTAGACCAGTTTTTTGTTCGCTACTGGTGCAAATATACATGCTGTCAGAGGTAGAGTGAAAGTTTTTGCCACTGAGGAGACTGTAGCAAAACAGGAGGAGAGGAGGAGGAGGAGGAGGAGGAGGAAGAGGGGGGAAGAAGGAGTTGGAGATAGAGCTCAGAGTTAGGGATTTTTGTATTTGTTTTCACTCAGGGTGCCCTGAATTTAAAGTAATGAGACATACTGTACTAATCCTTATTTTACACACTAGTGTTAAGAATAACAGTGCTGTTTCACATATATCACAGCTTCTAGAGATAAAGACGTATGGGTATGACATACCTCATTTTATTTTTTTTTTTGGGATTATCTAAACCCTTCGTAGCCCAAAACATAGAATAGCTCTATAAGAAAGGACTGTCCAGTGTCACAAGCAGACTAGAAACCAGAGTGAGGTCAAATGAGTCTTGGGAGCACCATGATAAAAATATAACCCATTCAGAGCCTGGTTATGTGCTTTCTTTTCCCTTTAAGCAGGTGGGCTGGCAGATGGACTTCCAACATGGAGATGTATTTATTTGCTCATCAGAACTTTCTGAGTTAAGAGGTGTTAAAAAAAAATCAACTTAGAGATAAGAATACAGGAATGAATGATTAAG